AGCTCTTCGTGTGAGCGGTGATGGCTTGGTTCTAAACCTATGCGGTATCGAAGGCTATCAAGATACACTCTACGCTCACTCACCAGCATCAGCAATTCTATCGTGATTGTTATATTACCGGAACGGTCGATTTCATCTGCGGTGACACATCAGCTGTATTCCAAAACTGCCATATCAAGGCAAGAAAACCAATTCATGAACAAAGGAACATGATAAAAACGCAGAAACGTGAAGTCCAAAGTGATAAGAAAGGGTTTTCATTCCAAAAGTGTACTATAATAATAGCTTCACATCTTGCTCCCATCAAGCGAACGATAAAGACATATTTAGGACATCTGTGGGGAGTCTACTCACATATCGTCTTTATGGAATGTTTCATCGCTGATCTCATTGATCCGGAGGGACGAATTCCATGGAAGAGCGACACTCGACGTCTATCTACAGTGTATTACGGTGAGTACGAGAACAAAGGCTCGGGAGCGGATACAAGCAGACGAGTCAAGTGTAAAAGCTTTAATCTTATTACAAATATGAAAGAAGCAGCGAACTTCACTGTGGGAAAACAGATATATCCAGATTCATGGCTCAAAACCACCAGAGTCTCCTACGACGAGGGTCTCTGATGACATATGAAGATTAGTGTTTAAGAAAATTAAGAAGAAAAACATTGAATAAATGCTTTCATCGTTTGACATGTTGCTATTATTATATTAAAAATCATTTTATTAAGGTACATAATCTTTGGCATTTACAGTGAAATAGAAAAGAACATGTTAGCATTGAAATTTGAAGATATGTTTAAGCCTATAGGCAATTCATGACCTACACACATGGTAAGAACAGATATTTGTGTTATTTTTCATACATCTATCTTTATTGCTATTTACCCAGGGGCTAGCTAGATGAAACATGAGATTTGGCCCCCAAAATTTATAAGTTAATTAAATATCGAAAAAAGCCACCAGTTTAATATGTTTGTAATAATAGGGCCCATATTTTTAAAATATTAACATTTGGTATTGTTTTTAAAAATTTATCTAAAAACCTAATTTTTTTTCTTTGTCTTCGACCCCTAAAGTTTCAGACCCAGCCTTGTATTTACCCATATTTGTGTTTTTTTATAAAACAAACATTCTACAATTTTCAAAACTATTAAATCTCCACTACAAAGAAACTAGAATCTCAAAAGATTTGAAATAATGCTATTGAAATAAATTAAAGTTAAATCAGGTTTCTACCCAATTTTGTTGTTGGTAAAATTAGATTTTTTTTTATTATTAAACATTAAAAATTTACAACCTAAACTGAGAGTTTTCTGTGATTCATGTTGGAACTTGTTTTTGACGAAATGGTTTTAGACCAATTTCTAGTGGAGACGTTCATCAGAATGACCGGATTTTAGGCACGATGGAATCGTCGCCGTGAGCAATATAACGTAGTGTATATATTTGTCGAAATCAGAGTTAGTTTGAATGAGAAATGGATGTCTAAAGTGGGTGATTTGAAAAGCTTGTAAAGCTTTAAAATTTGGCTAACTGTAAAAAAATAGCAAATGTCATGCTTGTAAAGATTTAAAATTTGGCTAAGTATAAAAAACTAGCAAATGTCCCACATTAGAACTTTGGATGAAAATCACTAAGTATATAAAGTGGAGAACTCATAAAAAAATTTAAAACCTTGTGTACACTTAGTGTATTGGAGAGAAGAGATACTCAGGCCAGACTTTGATTTCGGACTTCGGGATTTGCCAAATGGATCTTGGACTTAAAATATTTATTCTTTTAGTCTAAATTCCTTTTGAATATAAGTGTTGATTAAGTCAACACATATCTCTTCCAATTGATGAGTTTAATGCCAATTGATATTTAAGTTCAAATTCAATTTGATTTGTAACATATAGGATATCCATTCACGTTAAAGAGTTATAATGAGATTGAATTCTCAAATCTCCCTTTAATGCTTTCGCGTTACAAGACATTGAGGTGTTGGCTATATAATCAAGCCATGTTCTCAGTGACGGATCCAGAAAAAAATTTCACCGGAAGCAAA